TTTATTAAATGATACCATGATTCTGCCATGTTTCACAGTTGACAAATACATTAGTAATTCTTCTCCATAGCTGTACATGCAACAAAAATCTTTTCACCATGTGTTAAATTCTGTTTCGTAGACATTTGTGGAGTTCATCACGAGTTATATGCAGCTCCACTTTTCCAAGACCTTAGCAACGTCTTGGTCCAGATACGGTCCCTGTAGCAACAAGACTCAACACTTTTCTCAGACGTATTTTGAAACGGGACCTATGAAGTCCTCCCAACCCCTGAACTAGACAAGGTTTTCTTGAAATCGCAGGGGGCGCCTCTCATGTGTTCGCAAGCAAGTGTGCTCCCAGCAGGTCCTCCCATGGCTCTGCGGAACACCGCAGGTCCCAGGAGACCCACTTTCTCACCGAGCCCTGCTGCTTCCCCGCAGGCGCCACGAGGGGCGCGCTAGAGCCCGCGCCGTGAGAAAGCGGCCGGTTACCTGGGGGAGGTGGAGCGAACGGCGCGCGCCGTTTCCGTTGCGCTCTGTCAGACAAACCCCACACAGACGCTGCTTGGGCTCCCAGATTTTGTGGAACTTGGCGAAACAGCTCTTCGTGTTTTGCTCACAGTCACTCTGCCCTCTACCGGACTCCTCCGTGAATGCAGATGGAACCTGAATGGTAGACAAAACTGGCGGGTGACAGTTTTCACACAAAATCACCTCTTCCTCTGTGACGAGAAGACCAAGGAAGACCCAAAGGGCTTGAGGAAGGAAAGAGCCATCTTCAGAAAACCAGAGCCATGGAACATGGCTCTGTCACCTGTCCACACCATCTGTTATTATGACGGGAAGACGGGGCTAAAAGTGAGAGGGAAGCTTAGGAGAGGTTCGAGTCACTGGAAAGTACAAAATAATCCTGATTACTGTTCCCTGACGCAGTCACCATTTTGTCCTTGTAACCTGTAATCTTCGAACACCTCTGTTCCAATTGAGTTTTTCCACGAGTGATAGAAAATCCAACCAAACTGGCAAAACCCCAAAACTGGAATGTTAGCTGATATAGTAAACAGAATGAGACAAATTGGCTTCAGGCATGGCCTGATCCAGGGCTCACAGGCCCTGAAAGCAGCCTGGTTTCTGTTTCTCAGCTCTGCTTGCTCGGCGTTAACTCTTCTCCAGCAAGCTCTCCCCTCATGGTTACAAGAGGCTGCCAGCAACAACTGGGCTTTTTCCTTCCAGGTTAAATTCTGTTGCATATCCATTTATGGAGTTTATCACATAAGTTACATGTAACCTAATTTTTCCCAAACCTTTGAGACAGGGCAAGATCCTGTCTCAAAAAAAAAAAAAAAAAAAAAAACAAGGGAGATTTTATTTTTTTGCTTTCCCATTTTAATATAGATTCCTGGACTCTCCAGGGACAGGGAGATTCCCAGGTTGAAGTTCAGGAAGTTTCCTCCCAGAAAGCTGTTGGTCCCACAGAGGGATTCATCCACCTTGTTCCTAGTAGCCAAGGATATAACTGTTCACCTTCATCATCAATACAGTGCCAGCAAGCTTCACAGAGCTCTTGGGAGGAATAGGTGAGATCTCACAAAGGAGCTAGTAATAGTGCTGAGCTCAAGGGGCTTCACAGATGTTTGATGTCATGGTGGTGATGAGGATAGTTTGCACGAGGTAATGAAGGAGGAGGGCATTGGAAAATTAACCATGGGCCAAATCATGCTAAGATAAGGATTTTACGTTTTACCCTCCTCAAAATGAGGAAGGATTTTGACCAGAAGGTTGGCTTAATTAGTTTTTCATTTTAGAAAGATCATTCTGGCAGCAGTGTGTGGCCAAGCAGCGGAGAGATGGGGTGGGCAGGGGGAGGGGCCAAGATGGATGGCAGTGAGACCCGTTAGGAGACCATTATAACACAGTTATGCGCCACATCATGTGTCAATGATGGACCCCATATGCTATGGTAGTCCTGTGTGATTGTAACACTGTATCTTTGCTGTACCTTTTCTAATATGTTTAGACACACAATTACCATTGTGTTACAACTGCCTGCAGTGATCAGCACAGTAACTTGCTATACAGGTTTGTAGCCTAGGAGCAATGGGCTACATCATATAGTCCAGGTGTGTAGTAGGCTATAGCATCCAGCTTTGTGTGATATTCACACAACATCGAAATTGTCTAATGATTTCCCTGTCATTACCCCGTCATTAGGCAACATATGGCTATAGTTAACTTGTTCGGTGGTTGCTAAACTTAGTTCAACATTAAAATTACCAAGGGACGCCAGGCGTGGTGGCTCACACCTGTAATCCTAGCACTTTGGGAGGCCAAGGCGGACAAATTGCTTGAGGCCAGGAGTTCAAGACCAGCCTTGTGAACATGATGAAACCCCATCTCTACTAAAAATAGAAAAATTAGCTGGGCATGGTGGTACACACCTGTAGCCCCAGTTACCTGGGAGATTGAGGCAGGAGAATTGCTTGAACCAAAGAGGTGGAGGTTGCAGTGAGCCAAGATTGTGCCATGGCACTCCAGCCTGGGCAACAGAGAGAAACCCTGTCTCAAGAAGAAGAAAATTACTAAGGGAGATTTTTTAAATTTTTTGCCTTGTTTTACATTTTAATACAGATTCCTGGACTCCCCAGGAATAAGGAGACCTAGGTTGAGGTATCAGGAAGTTTCCTCCCAGAAAACTGTTGGTTCCATAGGGGAATTGATCTACCTCCTTCCCAGTGATCAGCATTGACTAAAGGAAAACTACAACTGTTATAACAAGAATGTAAACACTAAGAAACAGCCAACTTTGTTTTTTTAATGTTAAAAAAAAAAAAAAAAAAAAAAAAAAAGACTCTTGAAGCCCCTGGGGCCCAGGCTGGAGTAACCAGATAAAGCTTGCCTGGGATGGAAGGGTTGGAGAGAATGGGATTGAGTGACACTTTGTGGGAGGTCATTTGTTCTGACCAGAGCAAACCACCAGGAAGGAAGCAACCTTTGATGTGATGGTATTTGAAGGTAGCGCCACTGGGAGGTAATTAGGTTTAGATGACATCATGAGGATGGGGCCCTCATGATGGGGTTAGTGCCCTTATCAGAAGAGGAAGAGACCAGAACGTACTCCCTTTCTCTATCATGTGAGGACACAGCAAGAAGGCAGCATCTGCAAACCAGGAAGAGGGCCCTTCCTCACCAGATACCAAATTTGCAGACACCTTGATCTTTGACTTCTCAGCCTCCAGAACTGTGAGAAAGAAATGTCTGTTGTTTAAGCCACCTCGGTCTATGGTACTTTGTTAGAGCAGCCTGAACTGAGTCAGACATTCAGCACTGGGAGGTGGCCAGCAGGGAACTGCACAGAAGCTGACCCAGCACCTATAGTACTGGTCCCCATTCATGCGAGCACAGGCTGCCCTTGTGGAAGAACCATTCCCACAGTTCTGCTTTCAGCCACCATCCAGCAAGGGCCTCCCATCCATCGCTATATCCTGGTGGCTCTATGACTGTAGATTTGCTGACTGGACTCTAGAACTGCCTAATGTGAATAACAGATAACTCCCACTTCAACAGCCCAAATACTCACCGGCCTTCGCATTTCCATCCTGGAGATGAATCATAATTCACCCAAACATTTCCCCTATTCCCAGATGTTTACATGGTTTCCAGGTTTCCATTAGTACATTTAATACTTCAATGAACATTTTGCACATAAAACTTTTACTGTATCACTTCCAATTCCAAAATATCTACTATTCTTTGACAAAACCTAGTAGTGGCTATTTCTCTGAGTTCAGGATACCAAGTCTCAAGCCCCATTCCCTTCTCAAAATATACAATTGAAGTTCTTTTTATGAAATTTGATACATGTTGATTAAAAAAAAAAACCTCTTAGCAAAGAATAAAAGAAAATTTTCTTAGCCTAATAATAGGCACCTACCAGGAACCTCAGCAAACATCTTAACGCTTCTTTTAAAAGTCAGGAGTGAGATATGAGTGCTATGAATGTCCATTCTCACTGCTTCTAAAATGCTTCTATTGGCACTTCAACACTAGAAGTCATAGAAAGGGGGAAAAAAAAGGAAAAAGACTGCTGCCTCTTCTGGGTTGTAGAGAAGCAAGCGTTCTCATTCACTGCTTGTATAACTTCAACCTTTAAGAATGGCAATTTGGAGATACATGCCCCTTAAAAATGGACATATTTTCTGACCCTGCAACTCCACTTCTATACACATATCCTAAGAAAATACTTCAGGCTATGTGCATAGATGTAACGGGATACTGTCTCCACTACTATCTACAATCAGAAACCACCTGTCTGATGAGGTACTGGTTATGCGAATTCTGGCACGAGCACATGATGGAATATTAGTCACTAAAAATCATGTTGTATAAGAGCGTTCACCAGAAAGACAGCTTAAACTACCATGTTCAACATACCTTTTTGTAGATAATGGCATGTAGACATATATATACATATACATACTGGAAAGATCTATATCAGAATACTGATGATTCCTTATGCTGTTTGTGTTTTTCCAATTTTCCAAAACCTGTTACTTTTCTAATTAGGAAAAGTAATGTATTTTAAATGCTGCCTCAAATGCTGTAGGCAGCAAAGAAAGTGGCTCAGAAACAATGTAGAGAGATTTTATATGGGGAGATGGCAGCAACTATATATACATCTATTCATCCAGAATTTTTAATATCATGCAGCTAAACTGTATTCTTATTGTTCACTTTATTAAGACAAAAATAAATGGCAGGTCTAAAGGCTGACTTTATATAAACATGGTCTCTTAGGTAAACTCTGTGCTCATATTCAGGAACCAGCTATTCTGCAAATGCTGGGCAGGTCACAGGCCACCCTGCAACCCAGTGATTAGACGGGGGGAGACGGAACTTACTGGGCTGTTCCCCTGTTTCATGTGACCCAGTGGGGGTTGGGGTTGGGGGATAAAGCAAGAAGGGAGAAGGGAATGTCACAATAGTGTTCCATGCATGCACTCAGAAAATGGCACAACAGCTACAACAATGAGAGTCTTTATGCATATAGCTTTGTGATCAATACAATCCTTCAGAACAAGAGACAAACAGGAATACAATGTCCCAAACAGTTGCAGCCCATAGACTGACATTGCTAACTAGATCTAGATCATCTGGAGGCTTCTGTAAGAGGAACTGAGGTACAGAGGCATCAGAATGAGTTGATTCCCGGTACAAACGCTAAGAGGCTACAGACATTAAATCAAGAAACCACTACTTGTTAAGTACTTCTGGTGTTTGCATACAGTGTCCAATACATAGGGAAGATAGCAAGTCCACACTGGTCTTTGTACATGCTGTGTGGTAGAGGCTACTGCAGGTTTCTTTATTTTCTAAAGTAGGCAAGGCTCATAAATTGACCAATTCACATTGTGATTACTTGGTACAATGCATGCATGTTATTGGTACACAGAGGGCTTTAACAGGAATCTGATGGATTTTCAAAATTCTGACAAGGCCATTTTTACCTCAAAAGACTATTATCCTTTCAGTTATTCATTCATTCAACAGATACTTATCCCAAACTGTGTGTCATCTCATCCATCCCGTTCTCAGGAAGACCAACCCTGGAAACAGGTGAGAAGAGAGTGTTCACAGGACACAGCATGTGTTGTGGATAACTAAGTTTGTGGACAGCAGTGGTGCAATCCCAAGGATTCGCATAAGGATTTGTATATACCTCATTAACCATCTCCTTGAACCCAGACCATCACAGAGCTAGTGAGCTGATTCAAGAGAGGAAAGAACAATTCTCCATTCAAGTCAGACATCCCTCAAAGGGAACCTGACTATTCTGACTCATTTGGGAAGGGGCAGAGAAAAGGATATGAGATGGAATCATTCTTATCTGTAAAGTTTAGCTGACAGAAAAAAAATGGTGTCATTTCCTTAACTTTGGAAAACGCAGTTGGTCTCTGGGCCCTGAGGGTGGTATGCAAAATAAGCCCATCTCTCCACCTACACCCTTCCCAAAAAGCAGGCTGTGGGTGTGGCTGCTTTTTAAGAAGCTAGATGCTAACTTCAGATGGCACAGAATTCAAGACCAAAACTGAAATAACTTATTAGTCATATTTTCTATCTTCAGTTCCTTTGGGGATAAAAATACCATGAAGAGGATAAAATAGCTTTTCTCACTGTATAGGTCATTGTTGTGTTTTCTGTTCAAAAAAAGCCCACACAACCACATTCTCTATTTTATTATAAAAATTAGTACCTCTCATAGTAAAAGCCTGCTCCAAAATTGTAGTTTTCATTTCAGAATTAACGATCCATTAGCTGAAATTAACACTGACTGCATCAACAGTATTTCTGCAAGTATCGCCAAAGGTCTTCCAGAGACAAAGATGAAGGCTGAGTCTATTCCTCTAATGATAGTGGGGAGAAGGGGATTGAGGAGTGAGCCTTTTGTTCAGCCAAATGACAGGGGCATGAAGCATTTTTTAAATGAACCCCCTTTACAGGGTAAGGAAGTCACAGCTGGTTTTGTAAAATGCCAGCATGGGACTCCACCATCTAGAGACAGGTCCTTTGAGTCAGGAGGGAGTTTAGTGAATGGCTTCCCAGTCTTGGTTTTTACAAGCTATGTAGCCAATGCATCTGTGTACAAAGAGCACTAAACCCACCTATTGCACTGAAGGAAATGTGGCCAAGTCACCTTGAATACCGGGAGTACTGACCTTGAGTAACTGAAGTGCTACTTCACCTCTGTGTGGCTCATAGTTCCCATCTGCATAGTGGAGACAAGAGATGCTATCCCTGACCCACTGGGTTAGAGAGAGCTAGAAAGGGCAGGAGTGAGTGAGAGGGAGCTAGAAAGCACTGGAGCCTTCTCCAGAGAAAGGCAGTGTTTAAGTAATAAAGTACTCAACAAAGGACTCCAATCAAAAAGCACAAAATTCAAGTAACGGAGTTGCAGGTGCCATGTTCTGGCTTCTGATCAGAGGCCTTGTGCGTCTGCAGTGGAGAGCTGGTGGGTGAGTGAGCTGCGTGGTAGGGGATGCAGGCCAGGCTCCACGTGGAGCCCATCAAGTCATCCATGCCACTGAGGATCAAAGCTCTCCTCCAGAGGAGGAAACAAACCTCAGGAAAAGCTCAGTGGCGCAAGCAAGGTGTTCAGAGCAATTGCTTAAAGCATATCCCATGTGTGTCCTGTGCATAAGATCTTCAAGTGGGTCATCGACCGAAATTTCAACAGATGAAAGGTTTTCTTCATTTTGCAGGTAGAAATAGAAAGTTAAAGAAGAGCTATCTAGATCTTTCTCTTTGACTTAGCATAAGATTAAAAAAACAATTTGGAGACTGGTACTGAGGGAAAACTCACACAACACAATCCCCTCCGTAAAACATGAAAAGGAAAATCAGGAAGTTTTCTGTAACGAAGAAACTTTCTTTTTACAGTTTCTGTCCTAGCAAGCTGGTATGTGCATGCTTGGGTATTAGTAACACCCAGAGAACTGGAAGATTTGGGGGTGCTGTCACAAGGGACCCTGAAGGCCCCCAGAACAGGAGGATGCGAGAGGAGTTAACAGTCTAGATATACAGTCTTTTTAAACAGCTCACAATGAAAACTTGGGAAAACGTCACACTATAAAACCACAATATTTATTTTGCCACAAGAATCCACTTTGTCAGTTAGCAAGTGGATGGGAAAACAGCCCTATTCTAACTCCCATTATAAAACTTCCAGTACCCATTTCTTATGGGCTGTTGCTCATATCTGAACCTATTCATTTTCACTGGACAAATAAAACTCTTTTAGAGCCATTCAGTTGCAACCCTTATACTACCATGAAAAGGTGAGTCCAGATAGAAAGTTTTGGGGAGACATCATCGTTTCTTAGTGCCACCGCTTCCACCGCCGGGTTTGCTGAAGCTCCTGCTCATCTGAGGAAAGTGCACGGTCGGGGTTCTTTCTGTAGGGCCATATAATCCCAAGTTCCTGGCAGTGGCAGATTTCCGCAGGGGCTTGACGCTGGGAAAAGGGCTAAAGATGGGGGTTTTTGAGTTGCTGCCTTGGGGAGGTTTGCTGGTGGCTTTGTTTTCTTCAGGTGCACTTGGTGGCTCTGGGCAGTGCCGCTGGCAAGGCGGGTGCACCCTGGGCTCAGTTTCAGCTGCAGCATCCCTCTGGTTCAGTTCCAGGGCTCCCAACTTCACCTGAACCGCAGACACATCCACGTCAGCATCTCCGAACACTGGCTCCGGAGACTGCCCCTCGATCGTCCTCCCAGTGCTGCCCTCAGGGCTGCCGCCTTCTCTTCCAGCTGTCGCTGTACAACCGGAGGGGAACACCTCTGCCGCCCCCAGGCCGTTGGTCTTGCAGGCCTCGTTCTGCTCTTCTATCAGCCCTATGGTGTCCCCGCAGCACAGATGACTCTTGGTCCTGGGCATGTTCTTTTTGTGGACTCGGATGTGAGTTCGCCAGGGGGAGTTGAGCTTTGTCTTAAGGTCTTCGTAGGGGACAGGTGACATTTTCCCTCCTGTGTGACCAGGGATGTGGATGACAGCATTCTTGGCAGCTCTGTTAGTCATTTTCATCTTCTTTCCTAAAAGAAGGTGGTTTATAACTGGAGAACTGTTTACCTGAGACGGGAGAATGCTGGTCACTGGCCCTTTGTCTGAAAGAAATGTTGAAAGGTAGTATGAAGTGTACCACAGAGAAGCACATCCATCATGGAACAGAAATCACACGGAGGTCCTCCCAGCACTCCTGCATCCCTTTCCATCTATTCCCCAGGGAGGGGCAGAGTCATGTGACTGAAGACAGCAGAAACTGGATTCAACCCAAGAGCCTAGAGTACCAATTCTCTCTTCTTTAAAGAGGAAGTCACCACGGGATGATGATTCAAAAAGGAACAGGGACTCTGACCCTTCATTCTAATTAGAGCCTGGACTCCCTAATGTTTTTTTACAGAGAACTCTTGGCGCCACATAGCAACCTCAGAGGTACTGTACCTAGAAAATCTTTGCATAATAAAGAAAAATAATACAACAAGCACTATGACCACATGGATTATCATCTATCAGCTCTGAGAGGTGGGTAAAGAGCACACTGAGTATTATGAAGTGAGATGCAGCAGAATGACAGAGTGATAAAAAGGTAGTGAGAATGCAGTGAAATCACACCTATCCAGCATCTAACCCTAGAAATGAAAAACCACTCCTGCATTCTCAATGGACTTCCAAAGCCAACTGAAAACTGAAAAGCAGCAAAAGCTTCATCCTTGGCTAGGTGCCGTGGCTCATGCTGTAATTCCAGCACTTTGGGAGGCCAAGGCAGGAGGATCACTTGAGGCCAGGAGTTCAGGATCAGCCTGGCCAACATGGCGAAACCTTGTCTCTACTAAAAATACAAAAAATTAGCCAGGTGTGGCGGCATGCACTGGTAATCTCAGCTACTTGGGAGGCTGAGGAAGGAGAATTGCTGGAACCTGGGAGGTAGAGGTTGCAGTGAACCAAGATCTCGTCACTGCATTCCAGCCTGGGTAATAGAGTGAGACTCCATCTCAAAACAAACAACAAACAAAAAATCTTTGTTCTCCTAGAAGGCACTGTCGATCGCATTACTGTCGACCTCCTGTGGCTACGACCAGGCTCTAATGGTCCCAGGGATGGCAGCTGCAGACAGAAGCTGTATGGAGAAGGCCTCTCCCTCTGTGTGTGAGCTTCCTTCCTCCTCAATGTCCATCTCATCTGGCTGAACTAACTTCCACCCTTCTCATTTACCACTGGGTCATACCCCAATATCGACTGAAAATGTTGATAACTGTCTCCTCTTCACCACATTCCTGCTACCTCCCTCAATTATTTGCCTGTCACTGTGACTGGCTCTCCATTACATTCTCAGAGTTCCTCAACCTCCCTAGTTGCATCCTAAACCTTATCACCCAGCTCTACCTTATATGAAAAATATTCAACTCTAATACTTCTCGTTTTTGCTCTTCCAGCTCTCAGGCTCTCAGTCTAACTATACGTGGTAATGAACCACAGAGACTTCTGTCCTTGTTCCTCAGGCTCCTCATAACGCCTCATCTGTCTTCGGCTCACTGACCCCCACTACTCTGCCAGATGCATGGCTGATCACTTAGATCACTGTCTCATAGGCATCCCTGTCTCTTTGTCACACATTCCTAGTAAAACCCCAAACCTGGATCCATAATTCAAGTTCTCTTTTCTGAAACTGAGCCCTTCAAATTCATGACCTCCTATTTCAGAGTCCTCAATGCCAAACAATCTTTTCATTTCCCTCTCTCACTCCTTTCAATGACCTAACTAAATCTCCATTACTTTCTTTAACCTCTCACTTACTCCCATCCCCACCTTATTCCCAGCAAACAACTTTCCCCCAATTTCTCCATGAAAACAAAAGCTATCAGATCTAAAAGGCCCCTACTTCCCATCCTCCCTAACCTAGGAAGCTTGTACCTCAACCACCATCCTCACTACCTTCCATTAAGTCTCAGAAACTAAGGTCTTTTTACCTCTAGTTCAAGTTCAGTCTTTCCACCTGTGCTGCTAATCTTATCATATACCATCCCATTTAAAACCATGCTGCTCAAACCATGGTCCCTGATATGGTTTGGCTGTGTCTCCACCCAAATCTCATCTTGTAGCTCCCATAATTCCCATGTGTTATAGTAGGGACCTGGAAAGAGACAACTGAATCATGGGGATGGGTCTTTCCCATGCTGTTCTCTTGATATAGCGAGTAAGTCTCACAAGATCTGATGGTTCTAAAAATGGGAGTTTCCCTGCACAAGTTCTCTCTCTTTGCCTGCCATCATCCACGTTAAGATGTGACTTGTTCCTTTTCGCCTTCCACCATGATTGTGAGGCCTCCCCAGCCATGTGGAACTGTAAGTCCATTGAGCCTCTTATAAATTGCCTTGTCTCGGGTATGTCTTTATTCGCAGTGTGAAAACAGACTAATACAGTCCCCAAACAGCAGTACCAGAAGTGCCTAGGGGCTTGTTAGAAATGTATAATTTCAGCTCCATTCCAAACCAACTGAAACAGAGTCTATATTTTAGCAGATCCCCAAATGATCTGTACGTACATTGAAGTTCAAGAACCAATGCTCTAGAGCTTTGCCTTTGAGCAGCAATCTCTCCCCTAAAGAAAACCACATCAACCATGATCTAGAGAAGGGGTCAGCAAACTTTTCCTGTAAAAGACCAGACTGTGAAGATTTTAGCCATTATAGTGTGAAAGAAGCCTTAGACAAACCTGTAAACAAATGGGCATGTCTGTGTTCCAATAAAACTGTATTTACAGGCCAGGCATGGTGGCTCACTCCTGTAATCCCAGCACTTTGGGAGGCCAAGGTGGGCAGATCACCTGAGGTCAGAAGTTGAAGGCCAGCCTGGCCAACATGGTGAAACCCTGTCTCTATTAAAAATACAAAAATTAGCAGGGCCTGGTGGTACATGCCTGCAATCCCAGCTGCTTGGGAGGCTGAGGCTCAAAAATTGCTTGAACCTGGGAGATGGAGATTGCAGTGAGCTGAGATTGTACCACTGTACTCCAGCCTGGGTGACAGAGTAAGACTCCATCTCAAAACAAAACAAAACAAATCAAAAAACCTGTATTTACAAAAACAGGGAGTGAGCAGGATTTGGCCTACAGACCACAGTTTGCTGATCGCTGACTAGGGTACAAACTACTGGGCTGATTTGGCACCCAGTGGAGATTGCCATCATACCCAAAGACAGTGTAGGTGAAAAGGGACTGTGCACAGAATCAGAACACCTGTGTTCTAGCCCTGGCCTGACCACTCACTATAGCTATATAACCCTGGACAATTGCTAAGCCTTCCTGAATACATTTCCTCAACGCTTGGAAGACGATGAGACTATTTGTCCTTGCCTTCCTCATAGATTTGTTTTAAGGACAAAATGAGGAAATATATGTGTCAATGTTTTTGAAACCTAAAGTGAAATTGTTCATTTATTTTGTGATTGGTTTCTTAACAATTCAGGATAAAGTGAGAATTGTCAGGAAGTCAACTATTCTTCTCTGATAAATGGAAAGTAAATTCAGTTTTTGTGCAAGATCAGTCACATGCTCACATGCCTCTTAAAAAACATGTCAAATTTATATTTCAGTTAATTCTGTACAGGCATCATTTCATTAGGATATTCACTTCAAGCAAGAAAAAACAGCTCCCAAATCAGCATATATTAAACAATAAAGCAGATTGTTCACTGGGATTTTTGGAATTAAAAAGAGAAAAGCTTGACAATCCTTGGAAAAGAGCATTTCCAATTCCATTATAATTATGTTCTTCCTAGTATACTCCCAAGATACTTGCCATCAGCAAGGTACAGGCTTTTTAAAGTTTCCCCACCCCCACCATTTTCTCTGATCACAACATCTGTTATAATATCCCTTAAATGACTATAGCTTAATTTACTAGTGCACAGATGACTAAATTCTAAATTCAAATGCATAAAATGTATGGGGCATTAGCTCTAAAATTTCTCCAGTCCAAGGATTGCATGGCTTTGCAACATTCTAATCATTTGTAAACCCTTCTCTACAAGCACATAGAGTAGAGACATGTTTAATACCATCAACTGCCTGGTCCTTGGGGCCTAAAAAGAACCTGTAGTCTTTTTCTTCTTTAGAGCCTGATAAAACAAAATTTAAAATGAGAAGCTAAATATGCTATTATCTCATGCCAGCTGTGTTGACGGATACTGAACCATAGTTAGTAATTCCAAGGCCTTCCTAGGATTACTTGTTCTTCATTTTACAAGTTGAAATAGAGTTGAAATTGATTCAATTGAAGAATCACATTACCTGCCCTGATGTACACCTGATGAACCTGCTGCTGTTGCTTCTTTTTAATTCGAGAGTACTGCCGCTTCAGTGCATTGATATCCGTGGTCATGCGTTCCATCATCATACTGTTAAAAGCTGCGTGGTATTCACTTCGACAGGAATTGATTGCTCCTGGACTCAGCTCTGCAATGTTATTAGATCTCAGACTCTGCTCCTCATTTGGCTCTGCACTCGAGGGATGAGACATAAGGAGATGGTTAGTGGAGGGGAACCAGAGTAAATGGAAATTGACTGCACTAGAACCCAGTGCAGTATCTTAACCTCCGTGAAATTCTAAACCACAGGAAAAAAATGCATACTAGAGTTTGCCTAGTGCTTATTTTGATTTGCTCCTGAAAATACTTCTGCATTTTCTTATTAACCTAGCTGTGGGTCTGAAATGAGCTATGTGGTTTCAGTGTTTGATTTTGTTACCAGTTTGTTAACTATATAGACATAACATCAACTGCTTACAAATAAAAATCACTGCCGTTTTCTAAGATTCCGTTAGAAATATATAACTCCTAATTTCTAAAATCATTGCACAGATTTCCACATAACTATATGAGGATTTATATGGGATTGATGGTTTGTAGAGTTCAGTCATTAAAAATGCATTTTTCTTACATTAAAAGTAGTTATACAATTTATAAAATTATCAAGACTTCAGAACACTGTATCACTAGAATGAATGGTTTGTTCATTTAACAAACATTTCCTGTTCACTCTGTTGTTATATCTGATGTGATATCTGCTCCTATGATACCTACAACTAGCAGATTTGTCTCTTAAATAAAATTGAGATGACCTCCAAGAAAGAGAAACAATACTGGGTGGCGGTAACCCGCAGACCACACAGGCCAAAGCGGGAGAGAACAAGCTTCTCCAGCACAATTTGCAAAACTGACATGGGGGCCAAATTTTAAAAAGACCGAGAGATTCCAACTCTCCTAACATCTGCTGAGAGTGTTATTCAGACAAAGGCTAAATATCTGATAAACTTACTTCTTCATTTTTTTACTATAATCATTTCCGTAAGGAGAAGAAAACTAAAAGAGAAACTGCTAATCAGAGCAAAATCAACAACAAAGACTCATGATGAAATTTAGGAGAAAGTGATCACGTCATCCTAAAGCACAAAAATGCACAGAAAGAAAAACAGAGAAGAAAAATGGAACATAGACCCAGCCTACAGAAATGCAAATTCAAAAACTTTATCATTAAAATACATATTGATCCCAGAGGGGAACATCACACACCAGGGCCTGGGGGGTCGGGGGCTAGGGGAGGGATAGCAGAGGGTGGGGAGATTGGGGAGGGATAGCATTAGGAGAAATACCTAATGTAGATGATGGGGTGATGGATGGTGCAAACCACCACCATGGCACCCGTATACCTATGTAACAAACCTGCACGATCTGTACATGTACCCCAGAACTTAAAGTATTTAAAAAAAAAAAAAAAAAAAAAAACATATTGATCCTATGGCTAGAAATGAAAGGCTGAAACTCAGGCAATAAGAAAGGAGGGGGGAGGCACTGCAGAAATCAAGAAGACTCTTGTTGGGTTCAGATTTTTAAAAGTAATTTAAAAAGATGAGAGAAGAGCACATACCAAGGACATACTCACAAAACAGTACGAGCCCAACCACTAAGGAGGTTAAAACTCAAAACAAGCTGAGGCTTACAGGAAATACTCCAAAAGATCACAACCAAAAGTTAGAAGTAGTAGCAGCTGCTGCCACTGCTCCTACCTTCCAAGCGAGAGCTGAACAACTTAGGAGACAGCCCCATGACTTCAAGAAGGCAACATGAAGTTAGCAGATGGCAAAGAGAACAGAGGTGCCTGACATCTATTCTGCTTCTGTCCTCTTTCAGCATGTTTCTAACCTCTTTGAACAAGGAGAATGGTCTTCAAACTAGAAAAGGTAGAATAAATATGCTAAAGGAAAAGCTGCCACCCAAGACAAGAAAGAACATAGAGGATGACAAACTTTAAAGCAGTACATAACATTGATAATGCCCAGGCTACAGGAAGTCTATTCCGTATAGAAAAAAAATGAAATAAAACATGGCATGTGATTCAGAGCACCGCATTTTAAGAGGAACATTACCAAATTACAGGATATCTAGAGGTAAATTAACAGAATATTAGGAAGTCCAAAAAGGCCGGGTGTGGTAGTTCATGCCTCTAATCCAAGTACTTTGGGAGGCCAAGGTGGGTGGATCACCTGAGGTCAGGAGTTCGAGACCAGCCTGGCCAATGTAGTGGAACCCCATCTCTACTAAAAATACAAAATTATACAAGTGTGGTGGCACACGCCTGTAATTCCAGCTACTTGGGAGGCTGAGGCAGGAGAATCACTTGAACCCAGGAGGTGGAGGTTGCAGTGAGCTGAGACCGCACCACTGCACTCCAGCCTCAATGACAAGAGTGAAACTCCATCTCAAAAAAAAAAAAAAAAAAAAAAAAGTACAGAAGTCACAGCTTAAGAGACATGCTTAAAGAAATTCTGAACTTGGGCCTTTGAGAAAGCTTTAGAGGACATGATAGCTGTCCTCAAAGATTTGAAAAAATGTCAGGTAGAAGAAGGCACAAGTAGACTTGTTGTGCTTTTTTCAAAGAGAAGAATCCTCCTTTTCAGCTGGAACAATGGAATGTGTTGAAGAGAAGAAAAAGGTTCCTGCTGTGCAAAAACCCTTAAGAAAAAGCAAAGGAATTTTGCAGAGCTGAAGATCAAGTACCTGAGAAAGAAGTTTGCCCAAAAGGTGCTTCAAAAGACAAAGAAGCTTATCTATGAAAAAGCTAAACACAGTCACAAGGAATACAGGCAGATGGACAGAACTGAGATTGGAATGGCTAGGATGGCAAGAAAAGCTGACAACTTCTATGTTCTTACAGAACACAAACTGGCATTTTCCCTAAGGATCAGAGGTATCAATGGTGTGAGCCCAAAGGTCTGAAAGGTGTTGGAGCTTCACCCCTTTGCAGATCTTCAAGGGGATCTTTGTTAAGCTCAAGAAGGCTTGAATTAACATAGCAAGGATTGGAGAACCATACATTGCATGGGTGTACCCAAACTTAATGTAAGTAAATGAACTAATCTACAAATGTTGTTATAGCAAAATCAATAAGAAGCAAATTGCCATTACAGATAACACTTTGCTCAATCTCTTGGTAAATATGACATTGTCTGCCTGGAGGATCTGATTCATGGATATATACTGTTGGAAAAGGCTTCAAAGAAGCCAGTAACTTCCTGTGACAACTTCCTATGGCCCTTCAAATTATCCTCTTTACAAGGTGGAATGAAGAAAACACCCTCCTATTTTGAAGAAAGTAGAGATGCTGGCAATGGGGAAGAGAAGACCTACAGGCTTATTAGAAGCATGAACTAAGGGGTCTACCATGATTATTTTTGTAATCTGGTCAGTTAATAAACAGCAATGCCTTCAAATAGAAAAAAACAAAGAGAAGAACTATTAGTAGAATGGGTAGGCAGAAATTGTCGCTTTGTAACTAGAAACCATGGACTAAGGGGAAGAATCTAGCAAAGTGTCTTTTGAAATAATGAGTTTCCTGGCACATATACACCATGGAATATTACACAGCCATCAAAAATGATGAGTTCGTGTCCTTTGTAGGGACATGGATGAAACTGGAAGCCATCATTCTCAGCAAACTGACACAGGAGCAGAAAATCAAACACTGCATGTTCTCACTCATAGGTAGGTGTTGAACAATGAGAACACATGGACACAGGGAGGGGAGCACTACACACTGGGGTCTGTTGGAGGGAAATAGGGGAGAAAGAGTGGATGGTGGGGAGTTGGGGGAGACAGCATGGGGAGAAATGCCAGATATAGGTGAGGGGAGGAAGGCAGCAAATCACACTGCCACGTGTATACCTATGCAACAATCTTGCATGTTCTTCACATGTACCCCAAAACCTAAAATACAATTAAAAAAAAAAAAAAAGAAATAATGAGTTTCCTGTCACTCAAGAAATTCAAGTAGAGGTGACAATAGTGTTTTAATTTAAAGGCTAATCCTATTGGAAGAGAAGTCAGTCTGGAATAAAGTAAATTAAACTCAGATGGCATATATTAAGCATTGAGTGTATGCCAGTCTCTGGGCTAAGGAACTTAGCATACAAGGTTGAAACCAATGAATGGGAGCAAAAGTCACCACAGAGAAAAAGAAATGTGTATTATGCATGTAACACATAATACAGAGAGAAGTCTTTAAATGATAAAAAGATAAAGTAACAGAGGAGATATTTTTAGTAACGACTTTTTTTTTTTTAGATGGAGTTTTACTCTGTCACCCAGGCTGGAGTATAGTGGCGCAATCTGGGCTCACTGCAACCTCCGCTTCTCGGGTTCAAGTGATTCTCCTGCCTCGGCCTCCCGAGCAGCTGGGACTACAGGTGAGCGCCACCAGGCCAAGCTAATTTTTGTATTTTTAATAGAAAAGGGGTTTCGCCATATTGGCCAGGCTGGTCTTGAACTCCTGACCTCATGATCCACCCGCCTCGGCCTCCCAAAGTGCTGGTTTTACAGGCATGAGCCACCACACTCAGCCTAGTAATGACTTTTTAATGTTGTTGTTGTCTTTTTTTTTTTTTTTTTTTGGTAGAGACAGAGTCTCCCCTATGTTGCTCAGGCTGGTCTCGAACACCTGTCTTCAAATGATCCTCCTGTCTCAGCCTCCGAAAGTGCTGGGCTTACAGGCATGACCCATCACACCTAGCCTAATAAAGACTTTGAATAGTTGTAACCAGTTCAGAAAATTACTGAGGCATCTATAAGACACAATAATATTACCTCTATTATAGTAAACCAATACGTCATGATATCTAAATCAAGAGCCATCTCTTTACCTTTAATCTGTTTTTGGTACTTCTGCAGTTCAGGAGCCAAGAACCCACTAAAAGGTCCAAGACATCCCACTGCATTAACAACAGCATCCTCATCATCTGGGTCATTCTCTTCATCACTGTCTCTGACCTTACTATGGCGTCTTGGAAAACATAAAAGACAAAAAAGAAATACACAAAGAAAAAAACATAATAAAGTTACATGGTTTAAATACCATAAATATAATTAACATAGAATTACATATCATTAACACAGTGAAACCCAGTCTCTACTAAAAATATAAAAAAATTAGCTGGGCGTAGTGGTGCATACCTGTAATTCCAGCTACTCAGGAGGCTGAGGCTAGAGAACTGTTTGAACACAGGAGGCAGAGATTGCAGTGAGCTGAGATTGCACCACTGCATTCCAGCCTGGGCAATGACAGAGCAAGACTCCGTTTCAAAAGAAACAAAATTATATATAATTACATGATTTATAAGAAGTTTCCCTCCCATCTCTGTCCAACTTCTGCCCATTGAAACTAGTAACCATGGTCACCTGTGGGAATCTCCCACCTAATTCCCACAGATGACCATTGTTACCGGTTCTTACGTATTCTTCAGTTTCTCTGTGCACAGATAAGCAAATATGACTACATGCTTTTATTTTTCTCTTCTTTTCGCATGTCTATTAGCATACTATAATATGCTCTTCTGGATCTTGCCTTTATTCATATAAGGAATCTTTACAGGCTGGGCACAGTGGCTCACACCTATAATCTCAGCACTTTGGGAGGCCAAGGCAGGAGGATTGCTTGAGCCCAAGGGTTCAAGACCAGCCTGGGTAACATAGCGAGTCTCTGTCTCTACAAGAAATTTAAAAATTATCCAGGCATGGTGGTGCATGGCAGTGGTCCCAGCTGCTTAGGAGACTGAGATGGGAAAATCACTTGAACCTGGAAGGTTAAGGCTGCAGTATGCCATGATCGTACCACTGCAATCTAGCCTGGGTGACAGAGCAAGGTTTAGAAAAAACAAAGAAAGAAAAGAAACCTTTCCATATTCATACACAGAGCTTCCTCTTTTTACAGCTGTACTGGTTGTACACAGCCCATAGTGTGAAACCAAGCTGCTAATGGTGTACACTTGAGTGGTTTCCAATATTATACTATTACAAACTCCTGGGTTCAAGCAATCCTCCTGCCTTAGCCTCCCAAGTAGCTAGGACTATAGGCTGCACTACTACACCCAGCTAATTTTTGTATTTTTTGTAGAGACAGGGTCTTGCTATGTTGCCCAGGCTGGTTTTGAATTCCTGACCTCAAGTGATCCTCCTGCTTCAGCTTCCCAAAGTGCTAGCATTACAGGCATGAGCCACCACATCCAGCTTGGGTGGCCATTTTCTTACCGATTTCTAGGAGTTTTATATATTAGCAATATCAGTCCCTATTTTGTATGGTAAGTTAAAAGTAGCCTTCCACAGATATTTTTGAGTCTACTTATAGGTTTGGTTTGGTTTGATTTGGGCCATCCAGAAAATTATATTTAAAGTACTTAAATATTTTTCCTTTTTTTTTTTTATTTTGAGTCAGTTATTAAGGCCTTCCCAATTCCAAAGAACTAAAGGAATTCTTCCACATTTTCTTATGCTAATTTTATTATTTCATTTTTTCTTCATCCATACGAAATTTATCCTGGCATATGGTATGAGGTTTGACTCTCAGTTTTGCTCCAAATTAGTTCTCATTAGCCCATCACCATTTACTAAATAGTGTAACTTTCCACCATGGATTCAATATGCCTATTTTTCGTATGATAAACTCTTGTATATAGAGTTGTCAATTTCTGGTCTTCACAGTTTTTAAATTAGCTCATCTGTGTATTTGTATACAGGTTCCACACTATTTTAACTATTGAGATTTGTAATACTTGATATCATTAGATAAGTTGTGAGGTCACTAAATATCTCTTCAGTTTATGTTCCAAATTCCTCTGGAAAGTACACTTTTAAAAATCTCTCTTGAGTTCAAGTCAAAACCATTTGGAATGGGACATTCAGATTCTAAGCGTCAAATTAACAGATTTCTGGGGCTTCATAAATATTAATTTACAATAACAAATTAAGATATTAAGTCTTCCATCATGAAAACAACAAGGAATTAAAAAACCTTACCCAGAAACTGAGGTGGGTTTAACTGTGGCTGGGAACGGTGTAATGTTGTAGGTATATTTTTCCCTCAACTCTGCCAATTGTGGGAAAGGGAATGGAGCCATGGAATAAACAGTCTGAAAAACAAAAGCAAAAATGCCAAGTCTGAAACAGTAGCCTTCACCAACTCTTATCCATCCTGGAAAGACATTAAAGTTTTATGAAGTCGAGTGTGAAGAGGGAGATACTGTTCCTTACACAGCAGGTGGGGAGATTCCACTTCAACATCCGCTTTCAAGACAGACAAAAGATGATGATTAAACCCAACCCTGTGCGCTGTCAAATCAACCCAGCTGCAGCTGGGCATTCCAACTGGTAAACAAGGGTGGGCAATCACGGGCAGTCTGATTTCCTCCTGTTATTCAATAAATGGATTAATGCAAAAATCCACAGCTTCCTATCTCTTCTGAATCAAAGAACTCACAAATCTTCCCATGTAGTGCTTACTTTTCACAGCTCTGATGATTTTTAAACATTTAATGTCAGGTCAGCCCTCTGGATAAAATTAAGTCTAGTGGATGATCTTGTGATCGACTATACGTTTTCTCCAAAGATACCACCTTTTTAAATGTGTGTGGATGAGCTCTAGGTGAAAATTGTTAGGTGCTATTTTTAAAGGAAAAAAAAAAAAGAGAGAAAAGTGACAGGGTGTAAAGCCTAGGCTGTTAAAGATCTATAAATAAAAATGGGGGAAAACACCTGTGCTTCCACCAAAATTTCAAAATTATGTATCATTCTATCAGCAATAGAAACGTAATTTTGTTTTATTTTTATTAAAATTTAATAGCTCCAAACATGCTTCTTCAATCCTGGTTCTTATTCACCAGAAAATATATATTAATCACATGTTCATTTCTCCCAGGAAGCCAAAGAAATATCCTGATAATGCTTCCCTAGGAAAATGTTTTAAAATGACATTTTTTATTTCAGCAGGACTGCTTTTATGAAGGCTTGGAAGATGTCTAATTGGGCATGTAGCAAAAAGGAAAGCTGTGAAAGGAGTTTGATTGTGATGCTCTTTCATTTTATAGCTCAGTGCCACCATCATGACAGTCCCCTGCAATTTTTATTCTAAGAACCTGTACATCTGACTGTCCGTGGATGTCATGGTATCCCTTTATACTTTACTGTACCAGCCCAAGATTCCAAACAATTAAGTGTTGGCTAAAATTCCTTCTCTTCAATTCTCCATGCTTATTGTGCAAAGCCACACAGCCGATAGGGGCTGCAAACATAATCTCTAAGCTGTCTTATCACAGACACTACAGACTTGATTACACCCAAAAGGCTGAGAAGGAGTACAGGTTTACTAACAATAAACTGTGCCCCAAGGAAAGAAGCAGAAGGCATCCTGTGGCTCTCACTAGCCTGGAGTATGAAATTAAACCAGTTCCCCACCTCTCTGGGCTTCCTTTTCCTCATTTAAAAAATAAAGGGTGTGAAACTCAGGATCGTGGTTACCTCTGAGAGGAGTTGGGGTAAGATCAGGGAGACACATATGAGTGTGTTTTCCTGTGGTTAATTTTTATTTCTCAAGTTGGGTAGAGGGTATGTAAATTGCATTGTGTTATTCTTAATACATCCTGTACACCCAAAATACTTCATATAATTTTAAAATAATGTAGTCAGAAGCACTCTCACATTCTTTGACCTCACAAAGGTATCCAACAGTTACCTCACTGCCACTGCAGAATTCTTCCCCTCTTGCTCTTATGGTCATGTCTTACCTCCACATACCCTTTTGAGGGAATGCAAGAGATGTGAAATCCTCTCCTCAGCAGCCAGTCGGGAGCACAGCACCTTCTCTAGGGGGCTGGATAGGAACTGCATCGGCCTAACTATCTGACCATCACACCCCAAATGTTGGGCCAAGAATCAACTCTCGTTCATGTGATTTTTTTTCTCCTCAACAGTTTAGAAATGTGTTCAGACATTTAAGAAACCCATGTCCTTTGGACTCAACTTTAAAAGAGGAGATATTTGATGCTAAGAATTTCAGAATTCCTTACAAGTCAAATAAGATGTCTTATCAAAGACAATAAGTAGGATGATGAGCTAAAGATTGACCTGTGTTTCATTTTGCCAGTTTTGTAACAAGATATCAGTAAATTCCCTCATCCAGACTTGTGGAGGAAGTTCATAAGAGAGGAACATGGAAGTACATCCTCTCCCTACTTCACCCTGCCCTGCCCCAGGGCTGATAGTCTAGTCTGTGAGCAAGATCCCTCAGGGGCCACTGAGCTAAAAACACCTGACCAAAAGAAAACTAGCTCCATTAAATCATCCTCTACTTCAAGTCCTCCTCTCTCTGTCATTGACTTTTAGTTAGTCCATCAAAGAAGAAATCAGTATTCCTGAAACAAAGTTGTTTATAGTAGTTCTTCCCAAATATTCACTCACTTATTTGAAGGCCTCATGTCTGAAGGCATGTTTATTTCAGGAGCATAAGCATTCCTGGCATACCAACATGGCACTCAGGGTGCCTGACACCTTTAGGCTTCCACCTTGGTTAGTCAGAGATTTACAACAGATTACAAGAAGATATCTGACTAATCATCTTAGAGCCAAAATATGGTACAGTGATAGAATCACAGGGTTAAAAAAGAATCCAAACATGTTCCCCCTCCCTCCCAAGCAGGAGTCCCTTCTAGAGCATCCCTAACAGATGGCCACAAAGACACAGCTTAAACACTTTCAGTTATGGGCACACACTATTTTGCAGGACAGACGGTTTCAATTTAATTGATCATACATGATCCTTGTATTGAACAAGCATTTACTCACTTGTAATTTCCACCCCATCATTGATGGAAAAAAGTGAACAGAGTGGGTGCAAAGGAAAGTTCTGCTTCTCAGTACACAAGATCTCCCTCCAGACAACAGGAAACCAGTCACAAACGCTTTGGGTTAGGTTTCCCAGCCACCTACAAACCCTAATAATAGCATCTAACTAACTTTTCTCTACACTGCCCTCAAGGAATTTACAAGAGGCAATGTCAAAAGTCCTACTGATATCCAGGTACATTATTTAATCAGCATTCTCCCAATTTCTTTAACACTATCAATAAAAAAAAATTAAACAAACATGAAAATGACCATGGCTAGTAAGAAAACAGTGATCTACAAGGGGGAAAACCCAGCATATTATTTTCAGTATGGCACTTAGAACTGAAAGAAAAGGGAAAGACTGAAAGGACAGAACGCTTTCATCTCTTCAGCTCAAATATAAAGACCACATTTTTCATCTGGTGCTATCTCAGGTTTGCTGACAGTACTAAATGTTTTTCTTTAAAGAATGAATGTAGAAAAGAGAGTGGCTTGAAATGACATTCACCATTTCTTTCCTGAACATTCTATGATGTCAAGGAAAATTAACAAGTCTATTTACTATCTGAACTACCAACATATACTTAAATGGACATTTATATTTAGGCACTACTGAAAACACATTATATTTTGTAATTACTGATATGCTTTACAAGAAACAGGAAAACATGAGTTGCACAAAATTAGGCTTAATTCATCTTCACACAGATGTTTTCCTCAACAGGAGAGATGCTACTAAAATGGAATACCATCAATCAATCCATAGCCCACAATTCTCCCTCTAGGATTCTTCTGCTTTAAGCAGCATCAAGAAGTGGTTCCTTCTGATATCTAAGATTGGAACTTCCTAGAGAACAAAGATGGCATCCAACACATCTCATTCCTTCTGGCAATGTTTAAACTGCAACTGAAAGGAGATGTTGCCTTATTCTTCTAAAGAGGATTTCGGCTTTTAGAAAGACATCTTTTGAATAGGTGGAAGCAGTGTGTTGGATGGGAGGAAAAGCATTCGGCTAGAAGTCAGGGGCCCAAGTGCAGTCTTGGGTCTTCCACTAGGCAACACGAGAAACCGGCAACTTGCTCACACGCCAGCTCGTGGTTTCCTCTCTCTAAAGTGACAGAATTAGCTTAGTTGATCTTTAAGTTTCTTCTAAGCCAGTGTTTCTCTAAGTGTTGTCTGAAAGCAACCTGTATCAGAACCACCCATGCGCCAAATATCTGCATTTTCATACACTCCTGGGATGCTTCTTATACAGTTCAGTTTGAAAACCACAACTTTGGCTGGGCGCAGTGGCTCACATCTGTAATCCCAGCACTTTGGGAGGCTGAGGAGGGCAGATCACAAGGTCAGGAGTTCGAGACCAGCCTGGCCAACACAGTGAAACCCTGTCTCTACTAAAAACACAAAAAATTAGCCAGGAATGGTGGTGGGTGCCTGTAATCCTAGCTACTTGGGAGGCTGAGGTGGGAGAATTGCTTGAACTGGGGAGGTGGAGGTTGCAGCGAGCCGAGATCATGCCACTGCACACCAGCCTGCGTGACAGTTCGAGACTCCATCTCAAAAAAAGGTAAAAAAAGAAAACCACAACCTCAAGATCTAACATTCATGATTCTGTGTATTCACTGAGTAACCGTTGTCTTCTTCACACTAAGCTAAATGTTTCTGAAGCCCCTAATGTTAAGGAACTTGCTACTTTAAGGGGGAAAAAAATTAATATACTTGAAAAACAGAGCAGGTGCCGTGGCTCATGCCTGTAATCCCAATACTGTGGGAGGCTCAGGCAGGCCACGCCTGAGGCCCAGGAGTTCAAGACCAGCATGGGCAACATGGCGAAACTCCATCTCTAAAAAACATCTTTAAAAAATTAGCCAAGCATGGTGGCATGCACCTGTAGTGCCAGCTACTTGCAGGGCTGAGGAGTGAGAACTGCTTGAACCCAGTTAAAAATCAGCCTGGGCAACATAGTGAAACCCCATCTCTATAAAAAATTTTAAAATTAGCCCAGCCTGGTGGCACATGCCTGTAGTTCCAGGTACACAGGGGGGCTGAGGTGGGAGAATTGCTTGAGCCCAGAAAGTTGAGGCTGCAGTGAGCCATGTTCATGCCACTGCACTCCAGTCTGCATGACAAAGTGAGTGCCTGTCTCAAAAAACAAAATAAACAAACAAACAAAAATAAGAATCTTTAGTACTGAATAGTACTGGAGGAGTACAGAGGAGCCATCGTCCATGAGTGCTGGGATAACAGAGG